CCTGTCCCATTAAATAAATCAGCAGCGTGAGCATACGGATCTTTATAGTTTGCCGTCCTAAGTGAGAAAAAAACACGTCCAACAGAACCACCATAGCACCTATGTAATCCATTTTCAAAGTAGTCAGTGGTGAACCTGGTAATATGGAAGAGGTCATTTTGAGCACACTTGATAAATCATTCCATAGATGTGACAAAAAGCAACTTAAAGAGTACTGACCTGATCATTTCAACTAGATGAAAACGCAAATATTGAAGCTCATTTATTCAAATCAAAATAAAATGAGCTCCTCAACAATGTACTACAATAATATGGTTTTCAAGAAAGTGAAAAACCAGAAAGAAAACACATAGATAGAGGAAAAAAATCAGAAAACTTCCGCTATTGATATTTCCTTTTTGCGTCACAAAGATATTGTTGGTGATGCACTGATTAGTAGGAAGTCATATTACTCTAAACAGTATATATATGGTTTGCGAATAGCAAAGCGAAAGTAATTCATTTTATTCTGTTTTTTGCTACCAGAATCGTTGGTGAAGCTTTATTGTAACATCGTACAGTAGCATCTGGGTTAATAAATTGATCGAGAGAGATTATATCTTTTATTAACCGATCACTTAGGTATGACTTCGATAATTTGGTCAAGCCTTGTGAATAATATAACCAGTTATTTAGGTACAGTGGGAGACAAATAAGATGAATGCAGGTTACTATAATTAAAAATCAAATATCGGAGATCATATAAGGAAGACAATTCCTCAATATTTTCGTATAAATCTAATATATGAATTACAAAGCCATTTCTACTTACTCTTTAGCCAAATGTTCTGCATCGAAACTATTTTTAGCCTTTAATGACCGGAGAATCGCAAGACTCATTTGTGTATCATCACTGTACATCAGCTGTTTAGTATCAACTAAGGACAAAGATGAGGAACGTAAACTTTGTACACACAGCCATTGATTGACCTTTGCAGTAGTTCCAAAGGGATGGTGAACTTTGCTGCTGGGCTGCCTTCGTACACGAATCCATAACAATCTCCCATCAAGCCCCCAATCAGTACACCACGGCAGAAAGATAAGTAATCCATTGTGAGAAGATAAGTATGTTTGAGTTTCTGAATTACTTGAAACCTGGGTGAATGTAAGATCAACTATTAAAATCAATGTCTTATGTGAGGCTAAGCTTATTGAACAGTCTATACATTAGTCGGAACTATTAAACAAAAAGAGTGGATTCTGTACTCCTGAAAATTTTTGCTCGAGCTGTTGGTGCCTTAAAGTATGTATGGGCATGAATGTTGATAATGTTTTAAGAATGCAGAAAAGACTAGTTAAAAGACTGATCGAGGCCAATAATACAGAATATAGTTTAAACTACCATTGGTTTTAAAATCCATTTTTGGTTTCATTTAGAAGGAATTAAGAAATAGTGTCATTTCTTTAGCAATCAAAACCGACAGCTTCCCGAGATATTACAAAATATTTCGCATATACTTTTTAAGCGACCCTTCTAATGATACACTACAGAGTGATATAAAAGCGTTGTCATTAAAATAAAACTTTAAAGTAACTTATTTACTTTGGAGAAGTGGCTTGGGTTAAATTGAGAAATGTTAGAAATAAGAACTTATACTAATTGAGATGTCACAAAAATATGACTATTTTTTCATTATTAGAAGTATACACTCCCTGTCTGCCCTTAAACTGAGAGATTAAAATCACTTCATATCTTTCTTTCTACGAACCAATTCTTTCTTCTTGTACTATATCTCTATATGCAATCTTTCTCTTATATATTACTACCTTTGACCTAACCACTGCTATGAATCCGGTGTTCATCTTGTTGTGCTGATGCGGTATGGCAACCTGGACCGATGCACATATGTGCCTGGTCCTACGTTGTAGCTGACTGACTATTATTAGAAGTGATCTGTTAGCTCATTGAGACTAGGAGGTACCAGTGTACATTATACTCCACGATTTTGATAAGGCGTGAGTAGAGAACACGGTAAACAGAAAGCACCCAAAAACACGGCCTCGAAGGGAAATACACTGGGGTCCTGCCTCTTCTTCATGTTTACCGATAACATCAGATGAGCTTTAGTTCAGTGGTCTTTCTTTATCCCGACGATACCAAACTATAGAGGTTAAACAAGACTGCTTTAACTGAGTGCAGTTACCTGTATTCTTTCGAACTGCTAAATCTGAAGTACTGGCCTATTCGTCTTGAAATATATATATATTTGCATATGAAAAAGTGACTGGTCTTATTTCCCGAGTACGGGAGGAAGCTCCAATATGAGCTTCGTGGAAGTGCGATTAAAAGCCACAAACGTTTTCCAGATGTTGGGTTTTTCCATAATTTCAAAGTGATTTGAGGGAAAACCACAAAACGCTTGAAGAAATTTCACGTTTTCCTCAATCACTGGTCAGAATTTCTAACAAGTTTGAGGAAATCCACTGGAGTACGATGGTAGAACTTCAAATGTCGACTTCTAGTAGTGGTAGTAAAGACTGCATTGATCACAATTAATATGGATGAATTTAAGCCGACTTGAATTGTTGTGCTGGATGACAAAAGTTTCAGTGTTTAGGGTAATTAGGTCTGTCCTAGGACCTAATCAAATGTCCGACCAAATTTCACACCTCTTGGAGAGTTATTTTCGAAAACGGTTAAACAGTTTTACAACAAAAAATTGACAAGATTGAAACTAACATAAATCCCCAAACCACACCTGTACTAGCCTCTGTACAGTCAAGGTCACTGTGTTTGAATGATTAGTATAACATAACAAACACGATTTTGGTGGAAAAGAGATCACATTCTTTTTTGTATGAGCAAACAACAGTCAATATATGCGCGAAAACTAACAAGTATGAAGCAGATATGCTAGAAAGAGTCCAACGACGAGCTACTAAGATGGTACAAGGTCTAGCTGGCCTTTCTTATGAAGACAGACTGAGACACCTTAACTTATTTCCGTTATCTTGCCGTAGAGTACGGGGTGATCTAATATTGGCTTATCGTATACTGAACGATGACCTTGGTATTAACATGTCTTATCTTTTGCTTCCGTCTAGAACCGATCATTTGAGAGGACATTCGAAGAAAGTTCAAAAACCGAGATCAAACCGTTTACGTCTGGAGTTCCGTTTCTCGCACCGAGTAGTGAATTACTGGAATTCTCTGCCGGAACACGTAATATCAGCACCATCTGTTAATATATTCAAAACGAAATTGGACCTCCACAGTACTACAAACTTCAAGGATTAATATAGGTCGACAGACCTCCTATCCTTATTACTGAAGACTGAAGACTATGATGGTATGCTGTGGTGATCAACTGTTGCTGTATATGAAAGCCAGTTAGGCGAAAGCTTCTTCTGTTCCGTCCAGAATCACTTTTTCATTCTCTCGGTTCAATCTGTTAAAAGATATTCATAAAAAGTTGTTTTAATGTGAAAAGTACTCATGCAAATTAGATTTAAAATTCAAAATATTTTCCAATTTATTTGGTTCAGAAGATAATCTTCGTCTGCGTTTAAATGAAGTAGATAAAGACATAGGTACTAAATTTCAACAAACCTAAGCCGTTTTGTTGAGTAGATCATTACGTTGGCATCAACAGACTATTAAGAAATAATGTTAAGACTTTATCTCACTGGATGTGGTTCTGTGTCGGTTATCGGTGGCCTGGTTTGTCTGTCAAAATATGCATTATGTACCACAGATAAGAAGTCAAAACCTTGTCAGCAGAAGGCTATGGCGGTTGACTTAACAAAAATAGAACAGCAATAAGAGAGGAATTGTAAATTGGAGGAATCGTACGGAATGTGAAGGACAAATGATGGAGATTTGCAAATGAACTATTGAATGTATGATTCCTGTATTTTACTCAGAGTTATCGTAATTTCGTATTAGAATGTAATTATTTGTCATACATGTATAGCTAATTTAGTTTTGGTTAGCAATGAAAGTTTTGATGGCAAATACCCAGTATGGGTTGATAAAGTTTACTCGAAACATTATTTATTTCAGTGAGTCACTGGTTATTTAATTTTGTATTGTTCTGAAGTGAACATTATGAATGGACCTATTGTAACGGTATTAAAATTCATTACATGTGACATTACTAATGTGAGATTTTTTTATGGCAGCGCAGCAAAGAAGAACAAGCCCTACGCAAGCTGATCCTGCAGAACAATGAATAGATCCATTTCGTGATAAGCTTCCCTTTTTGTACTCAAAACGCATCTTTTAATTTTTAAAATATATTTGTTGTGCCAGTACGCTGTGTTCTTACTTCAGAGGCATTTGAATAACCATGGTCTACTATGATATTAGTACTGCTCTAATAATAGACCCAATCCTATGATCGTAGATTTGTCATGATGTAACTGCCTAATCGATAAGATCTTACGTCGAATTCACATCATCGTCTACACCAACTCACTACATTGTAACAATTACCAATACACGATAGAGAACAAACTTAGGCTAGAGACAGGACAATATATTTAACGTGAATGAAAGATATAAGGTAACATTCATCAGTACAGTGGCAGATGGTCGCGCAATTCCGTGGATTGGTTGATGTGAAACACTAACACCATTGGATGCCAGCTTAGTGGTCCAGTAGGTTAAGCGTTCGCGCGAGACTGGAAGCCCTGGGTTCGAATCTTGCGAGCGAGGTCGTAGATGCGCACTGCTGCGGAGTCTCACAATAGGACGAAACGGCCGTCCACTGCTTCCAGGTTTTCAGTGGTGTTAAGAGATCAATCGGTTAATGATCTCAATCAAAAAATTTTTAATTCATATAGTCATGGTAAATATTATTTATATTGATTAGTTATTACAGTGTATTCAAGTACAAATTTCATATATATGTATTCATAAAAGTTGTGGTAGAATAACGGAAAGATTAACTTATGATTGTTTATAAAATACACTATTTACTGACCTATTTTATTTATAAGACCTTTTTTTCATCACTATCAGAATATTATTTTCATGGATTCATTTTATATGTTTAACAGTATTAATGATTATAAAAATGATGAAAACTTTTGTTATTTGATGAGAAGTGAAACAAGGTCATTGATTCAACTATAAATGTTAAACTGTATATTGATAATTCAGTATTATACTCATTCAATAATCTAATCACTTACATCTCTATTTTCTTAATGATGATGAAAACATCAAGTGTCCGACAGAATTTCGCCAAAGAATGTGAAAATGCCATCAATAAACAAATCAATGTGGAACTACAGGCTGCTTATGATTATATGGCATTCTTCACTTATTTCGATCGAGATGATGTGTCATTTCCGAAAGCAGCTGAATTCTTTCGAAAAGCTTCACATGAAGAACGTGAACATGCAGAGAAATTGGCCAAATATCAGAATAAACGTGGTGGTCGAATAGAATTTATGGATTTAAGAGCAGTTCAGAAAATTGAATTAAATGATCTTGAAGAAGCATTTGAAATTGCTCTAAATTCTGAAAAGTCGATTTATCAGGTGAATTGACTAATCAACTAACTATTATTACTATTATTATTATTAGCTTTATTCAATATTATATTTTTGGTACAATATACAATTCTCAGCGTAAAGTATTTCAACAAGTTTCCGTTTCTTTCTTCTTGGTCGGTCCTGGCGATAAATGTTGAGTGATCACCAGTTAGATGTTAGCAGTCCAGTAAATGAACATCTGAATAATGTACATTCTTTTCGTTGTATATTGCCAGCAACCACATTGTCTCTTATTGAGTTTTTTGTAACTTTGACAACGAAAGGTTGTACACTTTTCAGAAACGCAGCAGAATAAGTTATGCGATTAATAAACATAATGATATATTAAAACAAACAAAAATAGATAACTTGTTGAAATATCTAGATAGCAGGAACAGGTAGCCCAGATGCTCACGCAGGCCTCTCTCTAATCATTATTAATAAGTTTATTTTTTGTAAAGTAAGATATTTTTAAAACTTTTTTCTTTTTTTTTCATTCTAAAATTAATTATCATATAAAATTTCATGTTAATGAATAAAGTTAATATCTGATTATGAAACTGGCAAAGAAACTACTTGAATTCAGATACAACTAACTGATTTTCTTTGATCTCATTTGATTTAATTGCAAAGGAATTTCAAATTCAATATGGAACACTGAAAATTGTGATTTAACATTTGGTAAACAAACTTTTAAACTAATAAAAGTTTCTAAGTTTCTGACTGGGACTTTTATTACTATTCATTTGGCTTTGTTACGTTGTCCTCTCTCTCTGTTATCACTTATTCTGATTAGTCGATTGATGATTAAATAAGCCAGACATAATCTTTTCAATATTTTTATAACGACTAGGAATTTTTTTTAATTTATTCTACCCTATTATTAAACAATTTTAATATTTTTTAAATTGTTGATTATGTCATAATTTTGGTCACTGATTTCATTGCTATATAAATTGAACTTGGCAACTTGACTAATGTAATTATTAAACGGAATAGGCAACGGCTCAATAAGAAGTTCTATAATCGAACACCTTGTGAACACAGGTCACTCAATCAGGACAGACTCTGCGTTCAAAGTCATCTACAAGGTAAGTAGAAGCCTTCCTAAGACAATTAGACTGCATCTTCTTTGCATTGCCGAGGCAATAGCCATACATTTTGAAAAACCAGAATTATGTGTACAAAAGAGACTGGTACAACCTCTTCTTTTACCATGGTCTTAATGTATTAAAAATTTTTTTTCTCTTTCTTCATACTCTTGTTCCTTTACAGCCACCTGCTTCACCTTCCATCTTCCCTTCAAATCTTCTACCCCCAACCGGTTTGTTTTTATTTCCACGATCATTCCGATTACATTTCATCTTTGTTATTTTATCATGCTGAGCCATCCTTACCCGATGAATACTTAAGCCATTAACTATCAAACTTTCCTTGTTTTAAAAATTTTTTTCTAATACCGTTGTTTATTTAACCTCACTGTCACCATGTATAACAGAAGTTTATTATCAGTATTATTATCACCCTGTAAAAATAAGTATATATATTTGCGATTGTACAGCTTTGAAAAAGAATTCGCCGAAAAGAGAACTCTTCGCTGAACTAATCTTTCTTTCTTATTTAATGTAATTATGATTAATTGTCACCAGTGAACGGAATTGTCCATATTACTGATGTTGAAAGATCAATGCAGTGGCAATAGGTTCACCTGTAAATCATTTGTAAATATATTCGTGAATAAATTATGAGGAAATATCTTCATGTATATACTCAACCTAAAAATATGGCAAAGGTGTTCTGATAATACCGTCATAATATTAAAGCGTGATGTATATCATCTATTTATAAAGAAATTAAGTCAAAAAAATAACCCAGTAATAGATTCACTTCAGTATTGGATAGTTGTAAATTACTTGTTTCGTGATCATACAATCCTTTTTATTTAAAATGAAATCCAAATCGTCTATATAGAAATGAGGTGATAATAAAAAATTTTGACCTGATGCCCAACACTTTATTCTTACAAACTAACATGGTCACAACAACAGTGTTAAGAATTTTTCATAACATTAACATATCCTATTCCATAAATGATACAATTTTCAAACCTAACAATCTGTAAATATCTTTACCTGAATTGTTTATTCAACAACTCAGAATTAGTTCAAACAAACAATGATCGACTTTAGACAACATTCAATAGAATTACTTTATATTTGTTCTATATAAAATCATACTTGCAAAATATTATACTTATAATGTATCGTTGGAAGATTATGTTAAAACTTGTGACCTGTGTGCCCTGTTAATGTATAACTTAACGATATCGCCGATTAGAGAGCAGTGAATTATCAATCGGATCAATGACGTGTAAACCCGTATCAGCAGCCTAGAGTACTTATCGGTTCTACTTCCCGCCTAACCCAGTCAGTTAAATCCAGAACACCAATCCGAGCCCCTGCGATATGGAATCATCTATTTCAAACATACGGGGTTTATATACCAATCAAACAGACCACATCGTACCATAAAATAGGGAACAACATTTGCACAAGATGTGGCCAAATGTGACTGTGAATGTGCGAGGTAGTGATTAATAGGCAGGAAATAATTCAAGAATGGAAAATCGTATAATAACAGTTCATAGGTTAAAATAAAGCTTATGATAAGAGAGACATGAATATGAATAGTTTAGTTAATTAACAATTATACGATAAAAATATACGCATAGTATTGGTCTATAAATGGATCCCAAAAGTTACAATTCATTATGCTTATCAGGGCATAACAGATTGAAACCAAACAATTGTCTTTATTTCATACTGTTTATTATTATTCCTTTAAAAAACATTTACACTATACTTTAATTTATCTTTTGTTATTTACTTTAAAAAATTTTTTCCTACAGTCCCTACTGGAATTACATAATGTAGCTGAAGAACACAATGATCCAGGGTTATGTGAATTTATTGAATCTGAGTGCTTAGAAACTAAAGAGCAATTCATTAAAATAACTGCTGATTATCTAACACAAATTCAACGTGTTGGGAAACAACTTGGTGAATATTTATTTGACCAATTAACATTGAAAGAATAATAATAATAACTCAAATATAAATTAATTGTGAATAATCTTGTTTTATATTTATTCTTCTTAAAAGTAGTAATAGTAGTAGTATATACATAACTACATTATTTACTTCAATAAATTCAATAAAGTTTTTATTTAATATTGAGCTGATCGAATACTCAAATGAATGATGAATTCCAGTCAACATATTTCTTATTTAGCCACTTATTTCCTTATTTACTTACTGACTGAAGCTGACTGCTCTTCTTAAAGTATAAGCTGTCAACCAGAGGTCTTCAAGAAACTATTTTGAGCTCTTATATTTAGTTATTACAAAACAGTGTTCATGGACTTAATGTCATTCTCTAATGTTTCTTGTCATGTTTGCTTCATTCGCACTCTTTATTTTCCTTGATGATTCAAAGTTACCTATTGTTTTGTAATGTAGTCTAATGCTTTATATAGTGTCTTATCCAACTCTAAAGATTTTACTTGATATTCTCCTCAGCCGAATTGTTTACAATCAGAGTAGGTTATTGCATATATTTTCTGCTCAACGGATCTGTAGCTGTAATAGAAAGAATATGCTGAAAATCCATCCATTGTATTTTATTGGACAGTATTTTTATTTCGTTGTTCTTTTTCCCTGACCTGTATTTTAAACTCTACTCAGGTCTCTTGTAACCACATTTTGTTTTCTTCAGTCTTTTTGTCTGGACACTTACTATTCAACTTCAGCTCAAGATTTATATCTATTATTTTATTTTATTATTGTGTGTGTTGCCAGACCATTGATTATGGGGTCGTGTTTGAATAAACTCGAGGTTACGACGTGGTTCGATCAATAATTGTTGACCTTTGATCGTCATCTGGGAACAGTCACTCGAATCTTTGCAGATAGATATTTGATCCCATCTTGTTGGGGATTCCCTTATTGATTCTCAGGTACTGAACAATTATTTAACAACCATTCCTTTTTCTGTTTAGCTCGTTATTTTGTGCATGGAAGACCTTCGACTGTTTAGCATATGCTATACCGTTCGAGGTATTCTGTACTTTTGATAAATTCTGTTTCCTTTCTTAAATTAGAACCGTTTAAATTGAGCTCAGTGTGTGCTTGGATATGATTTAATACGAGGAATTGAAGAATGCTTAATATTCGGAACAGAATAACGTAGTTTGATCTACTGAAATAAACTTTGGTTCGTCAGCTTTGCGTTTAGATTAAATACTGGAATTTCGGTCGTTATAGTATTATCTTGCATCGACATCTGTTTATAGATTACTGTGCATCTTTGGTGTTGTCGAAGGTAATTCTCCATGTTTCAGCTCCACATAATAGAACTGTTTAAATTTTAGTGTTGAAAACTTTGACCTTCGTCATTCACTTTGAGTTCCAGATATTTTCCAGATGAATGAATTGAGCCCTTGCTTTACCGATCTGTGCAATGATTTCTCCATTGGAACTTCCTTATTGCTTAAGAATGCTGCCCATGTATATAAAGTTGTCCACCTTTTCTAGAGTTTCATTATGAAGTGTGATTTAGTTGGTGCTCACTGCATTGTACTACCTGATCTTACTTTTTCCTTGTTAATTCTGAGGCTCACTTCTGTAGACGCTGCTTCTATGGCGACTATGTTTAACTGCATTTATGGCTGTGTTTGAAAAATTGGAGGGCTGAAACATCTACAAAGTTCAAAACATTCAGCTATATACAAGCTACCTAGTGTATTCCATACACTTCCTGAGATGTGAGAGTGGAGATTGTTAAGTTTTTGGTTGAGATCATGAATTAATTGATGTTAGACCACCGTTGGAAACCTGGAAGCACTGGCCGGCCGTTTCGTCCTAGAATGGGACTCCTCAGCAGTGCGCATCCACGATCCCGCACCCCGCGAGATTCGAACCCAGGACCTACTGGCTTCGCGCCTGAGCACTTAACCATTAGACCACTGAGCCGGCATCCAATGGTGTTAGTGTCTAACATCAACCAATCCACGAAATTGCGCGACCAACTTCCATTGTACTGAGATAGATACCTGTCTCTACCCGACACGGATTAGCTCCACTGGTCACGACTTCTCACTAGAACTCCGAGAATTCCCTCACGAAGCTAGTCATTAGTGAGCACATGTTAATTATCAGTATTGGGGGGTTGTGGAGATTGTTAACCTATTTTGCACTCCAAATGGGTTAGTAATAATGAGGAAATATAATCTATTTTGTTTCTTTTTACCGAATAATGTATCAAACAAAGTGAATAATAAATTCTTACTTTAAAGAGAAAAACTAAATTCCTATAAAAAGTATGATATTTCAAGCATACCAAATGCCTCATAAGGACAATAAGGTATTATTTGGATTTTCTATACATGTTCGATGCCTTCAGAACAAACCACACTTTACGTTTCATCTTATTGGCACGACAGATGATTTTCATTCAATAAATAGTTCTGGAAATTTCAAAAATAATGATCGGAATATATAACCAGAAATTTGCAGGACAAAACTTGCCTCGGTCATGTTTGAGATCCAACAAATGTTGCTATTCGGTTGTGACAATTTGTAAGGTCATATTAGATTCTCGTTCATTACACACTAAAATTCCGATGCGGATGTCAACAGTTAGATTCTTCAATCTGCAGATAAAAATCAAACAGTTAAATTGATTTGCTGTAATTTCATTAATTTTGAATCGCTCACATTCTCGATGTACTTTTCTAGAATAAGTGAGATAATGATCTGATTAAGACTTTGATATTTGAAAACATTGATAACGAATGTCGAATAATGAGGACTGTCCTTCAAATATTTTAGATAACATTTGGGGTGTACCATTAATTGATAAATCCCGAGGACTTTGTGGCAGTATGAAATGCACGTATGTATTATATCAACCTGTTCCAAGTCTTCTATGAAGTAAGAGAAATTTAGCTTTATCATCGAGACTTGTGCATTCGACACGAAATATGTCTTCTAATAAATAAAACCAGAAATCGAATAGGATACCAGATTCCGGATTAAAGTTGAATTCACGAATGAAATCTGCGATACTTTCATATTTATCTGGTTGAGAGGTCGAAGTTGAATGAGACGAGGCTTCTTCGTTAGTGTATCCAAAATCTCTGCTTCAGTTGCGTCTACCCACGCTTGCTGAACTTGTAAAATGGTTGTAAGGTTGTCCAAAGACATAGATATTTTCTTTTTGGGCAATCAAAACAACAACAAAATTTTCATCGCCACTTTTGTTGCGTCCTTGATCTGTCTACCCAGTAATATACAGGAGAGAACTTGTCTCGATCTAGGTTAAGGCCTTGACACGATAATCTAACCTATTTAACTGTGAGGCTAGAAATGCGTGAGTCCTAACTAAGACTAATGGCCTTGGGCAGAAAGATGAAAACTATTCTATCACATGATCGGTTGACAAGCGAGAGAGTGAGGAAGAAGACTAGTCGATTTATTCCTGATTTCCGATCCCAGATTAAAAAGATACATGAATAAATAAATGACTAACATGACCACAACGCAAAAAAAGAAAAATACAATGGTGTCCAAACCGGGCGTTACGGTAGAAGAACAGAATACAAAAGGTTACGTTTAAATTACTATATCTTTAGTACAGAAAAGGGTGTGGCAGTGAATCATACATCAAACGAAAGCTTATGGTTTGTAAAATAACCTAGGGACAAAACTAATTGTTAGTATAGCTACTGTTATACACCATGGATTCTTTGTGTCTCTGTTCACATCAGTTTTATTAAATTGTTTAATAGAGTATTTATTGTTTTTAATGTTAAATCTAGAAAATTTTAATAGGTTATATTGTTCATTGTTCTTTTTGTTAGATTTGTCCTAATGTTAACCAGTCATAATGTTCCCATTGTATTCTATCCGCAATTAGTATCATTATGTATTTTTAAATACTAATGCAATTACTTAACATCTACTAATCAACGAAGACATTGATGAAACAGTAAAGCTTATACAAGAATGGTGAATTTTAAGGTGAAATTATTTTGAAAACTGTCCATATAAACAAAGATTCTATAGTCATGGATAATAACGATTAACAAAAGTGAAATTTTAAAGTAACTGTCATTGTGTAACGAACGTAGTTTTTGTTGAATTAAGCTGAATCACACACTGCATTTATAAAATGTGAAAATGATTCATTAAATATGCCATTTGCACATCTTCCTTGGACCCACTTATAAACTCCATCTTTCTTATATCTCTGTTGTTACTGGAAGTGCTTCTGTACTTTTCTCTCTCTTCATATTCCTATTCGTTCAATAAGAATCCCACTTCCAATTCTTGATACATACTACTTATATCTGTCCGTATAAGTAGCACACAACACAATAGCAGTTAACCAAAGTTCCAGTAAGCCGTCACCTTAACTGAAGAGTGATACAATCAAATGGTTTCATCTATAACCACTAGTACTCATGCAGGTGCCAATTTAATATGATGTGACTTGTATCAGTTTAAAAGGGAAATAATTGAAAACAAAATTCAACTGGGTTTAGTAAATGTAAGCAGATAATTTCAAGATCATACTATTGACAAATTACGCAACCTCGGTACAAAGATACAATAATACTATTTCAACTCTTTTAAAAAAATATGAGTCCTTAAAGCATGTGGAAAAATAAGTAGGAAAAGTTACAGTTTAACAAATGTAGATTTATAAGTATTAAATATTTCAATGGTTAAGATCATGAGTCGATTGAAGCTAGACCATAACGGAAAACCTGTAAGCACTGGACGGCCGTTTCGTCCTATTGTGGGACTCCTCAGCAGTGCGCATCCACGACCTCACCCCCCCCCCGAGATTCGAACCCAGGACCTAATGGTTTCGCGCGCGAGCGCTTACTCACTAGACCATTCAACGGTGTTAATGTCTAACTTCAACTAATCCACGAAATTACTATAATATCCACAAAACCCATTTGATATTAAATATTTAATGATAATTATTTCCTTTTTGCTTCATTTAATGCTTCAATAGAATAAGGTATCATGACTTCATGGTGCTTTTTTGTAAAGTTCATCCATATTAGTTCTTTTTCACTTCAGATACTTAAACGAACATGAACCTAGTAGAGAATTATTAATACAATATGTGATATTAATTAGAAAACCGAGATGTATAATTTAATATGCTGTACTTTGAGTGTAAAACAATGATTCTGTATAACAATATATGTGTAAATTTCATACAATAATTTACGATTACCACGTAAAACAGAAAGGTAGGAACCAAAATAGAACTATTTTATTGATTACCATAAAGTGGCTTGCTTAAATATTCGGGTTACCTGTTCCTGGCAACTGGATATTTCAATAAGTTATCTGTTTTCTTGTTTGTTTTAATACATCATTATGTCTATTAGTCACATAACTTATTCAGGTGCGTTTGTGAAAAATTTAAGACATTTCTCTGTACAAGCTATAAAAAAGACCGATCAGAAATATCTTGGTTGCTGGGAATATGTATCGAAAAAAATACACATTAATCAGATGTCTGTACTTGAACTACTAACGTTTAACCGGCGACCACTCAATAATGATTGTCAGGACCGGTCAAGAAATAAGAAATGGAAATTTGTTGAAGTACTTTGTGCTAAGAATTCTATATTGTACCAGAAATATAATATTGAATAAAGCCAATAATAATACCATTACAGAATTAAACGATGCTACAGAACAGTTCTGACTAAAAACTCTTTCATTAATCTAGTAATAATAATAAATATTTCATCTAGTTTTATCCAATTAAATAATTTGAATCTCACGAGGCGGCATCATGGATGCTCACTGCTGAGGAGTCCTACAATGGGACGAAACGGCCGTCCAATACTTTCAGATTTTCCATGATGGTCTAGCTTCAATTGACTCATGATCTCAACGATTAAAATTCGATATAACTTAAGTTGCATACGATCACACTTTCATCATTCATCAAAGTCAACTACAGTTGCATAACTCGAACTTTTAAACTATTTTTTTAACAAAAAACTCCGATATTTTATTCTTCTTAATATGTCACATAGTTATGAAGAGTTTATCATGAACATTAGTCACAATCATACAGTTGTATACGTACTGGTGTACTTCATATTATACTATTATAATTTTACGATGATGTCACTGTTAGGAAAATAATTTCACGTTTTAATCTTATGAAACTATAAAATCGGCATGGATACGAAACAACCAATAGGGAAACGATTTGAAAAAAAATTGTATGAAAGTAGACCATGTCTTATAGATATTAATTTCAACCAATCTAAATAGCATAAAATAGTTAGTAGTGTACAAACAGGTATTCAGAACAAATGGAAAGCATTTGTTTGATTATTCAATCCTAATATTATTATTTAGGAAATATGTGTTTATTTCATAGCTTTAACAGTTCCTATGTATTGTTATGCAGTATATGTGTCTGTTTCGAAATCAATAAAAGGACTGAACAAATTTGGATTGAATCAGTTTTAGTCAATTGTTAGATCAGTTAGTGTTAGGTTAGACGAACGACTCTAGTAAACGATCTAGGAAACTAAGTAAAATATAAAAAAAAAGTTTAAATAGTTTAAATTAGAAAAATCATGAGTGGATCAAGAGCCAAACATAATTTTGCCAAAGAATGTGAAGATGCCATCAATAAACAAATCAATGTGGAACTACAGGCTGCTTATGATTATATGGCATTCTTCACTTATTTCGATCGAGATGATGTGTCATTTCCGAAAGCAGCTGAATTCTTTCGAAAAGCTTCACATGAAGAACGTGAACATGCAGAGAAATTGGCCAAATATCAGAATAAACGTGGTGGTCGTGTTCAATACAGTGATATCAAGTGTCCAACTAAGACAGAATTCAGTGGTTTGGAGGATGCTATGAATACCGCCCTTGGAATGGAAAAAGCAGTTAGTAATGTAAGTCAGAACACTAATTACTTCTTGATTACCTTTTTTCAACAATTAAGCTACTTTTTAAATTGGTTTATTTGCGTGGACATTAAGAAACCGACCGAACAACCATGAGGTCATGACCTGATACCATGAATTAGAAGACAGAAAATATGAATGTTCAATTTATGATGAATAAAAAAACAAAAGAACCTACTAGGGATTTCTTGGTTTCACGTGGTCATTGAACTTTCTTAAATTATATATGTATGGTTTAAATACATAGTTCAGAAGTGGGATCTAGGTTCTGATATAGGATTTAGGGTTAGTTTATACATTCTGTAAAATCTAGTCCTGACTATGTCTTAGTGTTGACCTGAATTTTACCCTCATAACTAAATTTAAGAGATATTGCATCGAAATATGCTACTTCGTGTTTTTTTGAACCGATCCATAATCACTTCATTATGCCGCTTACATGTCAGTATTTTCACTAATTTTAAGCCTTATAAGTACTAAGTGATAGTTTATTCATCAAAACGAACCGAAAAACTGTTAGCAGAGAGCATGTTAGTTTGATGATTAGTCCATGACATTGGAGTCACTTACCCCATACCAATCGTTTATCTTAACTGTTTATCTGTTACAGAAGTAATTGTTTACTCCTTTATATTTAAATTCATTGTTCACTACGAATATTTACCGAATGGCAAGTAGTTTCCAGTTGTTTGAATTGAAGATTAAAAAAATGAGTAGGATATCTTGATTAGTTTGGCTTTAGATACATTTAAAAATTCTGTTATTCTACAGAAATATAACTGAACACGAGATATGGCTCAAATAATATTCAGATAAAGAAAACTTAAATCCACTGATGGATAAAATACATTAAGGGTGATAAAGTACTTAACCATATTGAAGCTATTACTTTAATTTATTTATTTAAGGTTGTATGGTGTCTGTCTGTCGATTGTTTTTCTAATCTCGTAAGATGTAACTCATTGACTGTATTTATACACATAGTGGATAAAGAATTATGGTATAGAAATGAAGTGTAGACGACTACTTCAATTATGGGTATTGTGTTCTACTGTAAATATAAACCACATTAGATTCTATTTTATAACTAGTTTTTAATGCAATGACTTACATGTTTATGTTAAAAAAAATTTAGTTACACAGTGAATCATCAGTTAGCATTCCAGTTAGATTTCTGTTCCGTGGTGTTGTAAATAGTCAGCAAAATTTAAGTTCTATAGTCAATTACGTTCTCAATAAGTTTGTAATTCTCCATAAAACTATTCAGTTTGATCACTAAGTTTCTTGTATTTTAGTGTCCATTTACTGAGGTTTCGCATCAATATTTCGGTTTCAGTGGGTAGTTATTGGTCATATAGGATTATTTGGATTCCTTTGTTGGATTAACCACACAATCTAAACTGACATGATTGCACAATATCCTACTATTTCATCATTTCAGTGTCATTGGTTATCTCTTAAAATATGAAATCCTAACGAATCAAAACATTTTTTTGGCATTGTTAACCATAAGGTTGTTAAGTTAAAAGGTGTACTCTGTCTGCTGATAGTTAATTATATGTTACTCTGAATAAATATCGTTTTCATATTAAACCAATTTCCAGCTACGTATTCGTACGTAGCTTAATATGGAACTCTCTCCTATACCAAAACGAGGTCATGTAGAATAGCACTGATATTCATCGTTCGCACATGGTTATTTCATAAAAATTTGTACGGAGTTGACCAACATGTTCTTTAGGTACTTCATTTCGATTACACATTTATCGAGAACACAGCGCATACATTTATTATGTAGTTTCTATTACGTATCGACCTTATTTAGACAACCACTCAAAACTAGGAAACGGATAGCTGTTTACTCTTAGTTTGAGAGTCGCTGGGGCTTATCCAAACTCAGGACCTTAAGGTATCGCTACAAGCGCTCAACCTTTAGATAAATGAGCGATTACCAATCGTTTGTTAGTTCACGATATTTCTAAATCCGTGTTCAACACCACTGGTGATACTTATTTCACACCTGACACGGTTAAACTTCACTGGTCGCAGTTTCCCTATGGAACTCTAGTGACTACCTTTCGAAATTCGTCATTTTTTTAATTTTACAAAACCAATTATTCAGTAATCATTTTATTACTTTTTTCTCTTAGTCATTATTAGAACTTCATGAAGTAGCTTCAAGGAACAATGATCCAGGATTAACAGATTTTATTGAAAGTGAATTTCTTCATGAACAAGAAGATGCAATTAAACAATTTGCTGATTATTTAACAGAAACACAACGAGTTGGTAAAGGACTTGGAGAATATCTATTTGATAAATTAACATTAAATGAATAGAGTGATTTTAATTATTCTATTTTAAATGACATTCCTCATTATCATGATTTCATTTGATACAGCATAGTTTATTTGTTTTTAAAAATAAAATTTATTTGTAAATAGATCACATTTACTTCAACAATATAACCATCTAGTTCTAATATACTTTACTTTTTCAATGTTTTCTATGAGCCTATCACGTTTTTCGTTCGTGTTTAAGTAAAGCCAATGTTGTTAATAATCGATAAGACGAGAAACAACGAATCGAATATTCTGTAATCCTATATGATCAGTGAACTAGATATCAAAATGTTAGAATAGTCCAAATGATATAAACGTGAATTAATTTCTTTATCCTTATAGTTTGCATATGGATTAAACGGTGTACATCATTTTTCCCTTCATAGTATAAAGGTTTTATAGTAATTCAAACTTAGGGTTATCCGTAGCATTTTAATTGTTCCATAAGTATGTCTTCAATGAAAATTACACAGTACTTTGTATCACTTACCTATTAAATGAGCATAAAAATAACTAATAGTGTCGAATACAGTAGGATTATCGAATATTAGAAGTGTTGTGTATAACCTCAACAGAATTTAAAGTGAGATCTTTTAAAATAACAAGTTGATATAATTGTTACGAGTTATAAACATATTCAATCGAGGAAAATTAATTGAAATCATCTCCATTTATGGTGGGATGTACACATTTAACATGAGTTTTCAGAAAATTGTAGTGTCTAACTTTCTGGGAAGGATTACCGAATCGATAACATTTCCAGTTTGAGAAAATAGATCCATTATAAAAGAAAACAGTAAGAACTTCTGCTCTGAAGCAACTAGTCGATACTTGTCACCTCAACGAAAAAAAGTTAACTTTCAATATTTCCCATAGACTTGTTCCATGCTTGCAGGATTCATCTATTACATACAATAAGTGTTATGGGAATACACTGAAATAAATTGAATCTTTGTGCACAGGAGAAATTTGTACAGCAGTTTAACTTACCCTGACCTTCTGCATAATTATGCATATGTAGTTTAAGCTCTTTTTTTGATCTTATTCAATTCTAATTTTATTCTTGTGTAATCTGCCTTTATATGATCATCTAATTTTCTTGGAATTATCTTCATGAATAACACTAAATATTAATATTCAGTTGCTTAGTTTCAAAACTACTCAATTTTGTTTCCTTATTCTTATGTGACCAGCTTCAATAATTAGCTGACTATGTAATTTCTCTTTACTCTAGACTTTGAATTTATTGAGTTTCTAATTGACTAATATCTCTAGAGAAAATATTGAAATACATTCATAAACTGACCGATCATTATCTATTTAGTATTGACTTCATACTTTATTGTAATGTAAAGCTATAGTGAGAAACCATTTGTATTCTTATCTTAATGGGGATAATATTAGGATTTATCTAAATTTGAATTAAGAACTTATTCATCTAAATAACTTGATTTAAATTAAATTTAGATGCTTGTTGTGGACCGAAATTCAAGTATTTGAATAATTGTGACGCTACTCAAGGGATAAAATAGTAAAAGGGTATTAATATTCCACAAAACAAATACAGGTAAGTTATGCAGAGATTACTTGAAAATAATCGGTAGTTGCGCGTTCACAAGGTTCAATTGTAATTTCACAAATTATGAAAGAAGACTTTCAATTCAAAATATGGAATGTACTCCAAGATGATGACCAATAACTGACCAAGATGTAGTTGAGATCCACCAGTTCTAAATGTATGTACAAGTATATTAGAGATCTGTTGATGTTGTACCAAACTGAGGGAAAACGAAATGTTGTATATGAAGCACTTACATTCAGTGAATGTTACTCACTGAGGGTGTACGGGGAAATTCAATATCGATCCAACGTCTTCTTAGTCAGTGATAATAATTCTAAAGATTAACGAAGTATGATTTTCTTAGAAAATATTGAATTGAAATATATTTTAAGCATTACATTACATTAAAGAAGCATGGAGAGTTGTGGCGTGTGCGACTTATGTCGACAAACATAAATAGTATGTAACACCAATTAAAGTTGAATGGCTGGCAGTAGAAGGCTAAGAAGATTGAGTTGGAGATAACAAAAAGGGAAATACAAAGGAATTGTGAATTGGAAGAATTGTATAGAATGTAAAGGACAATTGATGAAGGATTTGCAAACGAAGTATTTAATGTATGGTTCTCATATTTTATGAAAAGATCCTGTAATTTTGTACCGAACAATAAATTAGCTGTCCCCACCTGTGTCTCATACACTACAGACTAAATGATGAAAGTAAAAATGTGGTGAAAGCGTCGTATTCATTAAGAACGACTTATTGAACCACAGTACAGGAGGTTAGATAATCAAGTTAGTTATTTAGTGTCTAGTTGACTTCATTTCATAAGTTTT